CAGCAACAGCAGCAGCAACAGCAGCAGCAACAGCAGCATCAGCAACAACCTCTGAACAGGTTAGCACGTTTCAGTCCTTACTAACCTCTTATATTCTTTATTCGCCTGTTCACCCAATTCTTTGTTTCTGGACGCAATCTTCTCGATTCTTGTTCTAAAGTGTTCCTGTTCGTGTTTCTTGAAGTATCCATCATCAACTAAAGCATTAGCTTCTTCAACAATGTCGTCTACTTCTTTCGTGACTGCCGTAATTTCACCCAATGACGCCTGTTATTAGGATAATAATAATTTACTAGGTAAAATACACTTTAAAGGGTGGTACATCGGGGAGGGAAGGGGACGCCATCGTTACTTCTCAGTTTAAAGATAGTTTTTGATACCACTGAGTTGTATTTAGACTTGTATCAAGTCTTCCTGATCTGGAATTCTGTTTTTGGCGCGAATTTTTCCCGCCACAAAATGTAACCGGAAGTACAGATATCGAAACCCAAATCAATTCACGTTAAAAATTGTGGCACGAATTTTTCCCGCCAGAACATGTGAGCGGAAGTAAAAGTCTTGAGACTCAAAAAACACAATCTGTTCCTGTACTCTTTTGTCAAACAATAAATAAGGATGATAAAAAAATATTTAGGACAGGTGACATACCTTGCTGGTATCCAACTGTTTCTTCGCAGACTCCAAATCCACGTAGCCTTTGTCATCCGGTGTAAGTTTGGACTCCGCGCGCGTGAGTGACACTTCAGCATCGTCGAGACGGGTTGTCAAGTACATAGCAAACCCGTTGGACAGTCTGTGGGGGAAATGTCACAGATGACTTTTATTAGTCGTAAGTCAAGTCATAGTATAGATTACACAATGTCTACGATAAAAGAATGCGCGTAATAAAAATGCATGCGCAATCACGTGATCAGAGGGAGAGTGGTACTTTGACTTACTTTGTCCCATTGTCCATGGTTTTCAGGTTGACGACTTCCATTCTCTCATTTAGGTTTTTTGTCTCGTTTTCGTAGCTTTGTGCTCGTTCAGAATCGACTATTTGATCGTTGAGTAGTTTTCTGCTGAGGGAAATGGCTCTGTTGAAGGTTGGCTCGAACGATGCGATCTCTTCCTTTAATTCCTGAAAAAAGGTTTTGTTTAAGAGAAGAGTTATTTCATTACATTCCGCCATACGAAAACAACGATATTATCAACAGCACTATCATTATAATGTATCATTATAATGATCACCACTATCAGCACCGGCAGCACCACAGTTACTAACATAATCATTATCATTATCACCACCATCATCACCAACATCATCACTAGCATAGTCTTTGCAATCATCATCATTATCATCACCATCACCATCATCATCATGTTTTATCATCATGTATCATCATTATAGTCATCATCACTACTGCAATAATCATCATCACCATCACAATAACCATTACCGTCATCAATATGTATCACCATCATCATCATCATTATCGCCACCATCACCATCATCAACTTACGCTATGGTTAGTGTGTTCTTCTCTTAACGACGCGATATCATCCTGATTAGCTTGAATCGAATCTACTTGTTTCTCTGTATCGTTCAACCAATCGTGAATCTCTTCCATCAACTCTTCGTGCAGGACGATCAAGGTCTGCGTCAACCTGTGCGTCAGAAAATAAACCAAAATAATTCAGCTTACGGATGTCAAAAAAGGTGAGTTTTTGAAGGCTTTTTCGCTTCTCTTTGAAGCCCAAAAACAGATATCATATCCTTCTTACTTCATCATATCCAGAGACCACCACGTGGCTGATAAAAGTCAGGGTACGGCTGACTCACAGATGGAAAGTTATTTAGCGTGTTAGGTTATGCGGATGGAGGAAAACCGGAGATCTTGGAGAATGGAGAAAAACCTTTAAATCAGGGGAAAGACCTAACAAACTCTGCTCATTTGTGATGCCAAGTCCAGGAATTAAACCTGAGACCCCAGAGGTGAGAGGCGAGTGTACTACCACTACACCACACTTGATTCACTAATGTATGTGAAGTTGAGTCCAGGAATCAAACCTGAGACTCTAGAGTTGTGAGGCGAGTGTACTACCACTACACCACCCTTGGTTCACTAATGTATGTGATGTTGAGTCCAGAAATCAAACCTGAGACTCTAGAGTTGTGAGGCGAGTGTACTANGTACTACCACTACACCACCCTTGGTTCACTAATGTATGTGATGTTGAGTCCAGAAATCAAACCTGAGACTCTAGAGTTGTGAGGCGAGTGTACTAACGCTACACGACTTTTGACATGTATTTATTCTCACTTTAGGTTGAAGGAGAGGGAGAAAGAAACGTCTAAACCTTTACCTTTTCTTGTTTTCATCATGAGCAGTGTTTACTCTGTCCATGGTTATTTCTAGTTTACTGATCTTGTCAAGGATCTGTTGTTCGTCGTCGTCGTGAAGCAGTCCTTTCGTCTTGCTGTCCTGCAGCTGGATCTTCAGTTCTTCAAGTTTTTTGTCTTGTTCGGTCATTTGATCTTCTAATGACTGCGGGTGATTACAAAGAGAATGAATGAAATTTGTTAAGATAATGGTTAGCATTATAATATTATTAACACCAATATTATCATCATCACCTTCACCATAATTATCATCATTATCAACCTTACTATTATCACCATCATCATCATCATCACCATCATCATCACCATCATCATCATCACCTTCATCATCATCATTCTCATCAACCTTACTATTATCATCATCATCATCACCTTCATCATCATCACCATCATCATCACCATCATCACCATCATGTCATCATCACCTTCGTCATCACCTTCATCATCATAATCACCGTCATCATCATCACCTTCATCATCATCATCATCATCATCATCATGACCATCAACATCACCACCATCATCATTACCATCATAATCATCCTCATCATCATCAACATCATTGCCATCATCATATAGCCATCACTATTGATTTTCACCATCGTCATCATTTACCTCGTCATCATCGCCAAGCATCATAAGTGTTACGATCCCCATCCTCATCATCATCACCAATTAATTTACCTGTAGATTAGCTAATTGTTTCTGCACTTCTCCGACATCAGCACCAACATCACTAAATTCCATTTCCATTTTCTCCTCTATTTCATTGGCATTAAAAGACATATTCGACAGGGAACGATGGAAGTATTTACTAGATGCATTTTTGATCCTAAGAAACAATCAAATCATTCGTATATCAGTCGTGTCCAGTCGTATTCAAGTCGGATACTTTCGTACAATACTCGTAACAACTCGTAATCATATATATATATATATATATCCTACTTTGTTTTCTTTTCTTGAGCAGATTTCTCGATGTCACCAAGGCGTTTATTGAGTGAGTCTAACGCATGGTGAACTTCGCCTTCTTCGTGAGAGTCAAGGGTTTTCTGTCCGACCAGATCCTTGCCAGAGTCGGAAATGTTCGACATGTGCTCGTTAAAGACATCGTCTACTGCGCTTTCGAGTGACTGTGAAAGGAATAAATAAAAATCATGGGATGAGAATCAGCAAATAATGTTTGGAAAGGTTGCTCTTTTAAAATCATGAATTTTTTTGTCGCAATTTCTTGGAACTTTTGTGTACCATCATCGATATCATCAACACTACCGATGGTGGTGGTGATGATGATGATAACGGTGAAGGCGGTGGCGATGGCGATGGAGGTGTGATTGTAGTTTTGGTTTTGGTGATGGTAGTGATGATAATGATAATGATATTATTGGTATTATGATGGTGGTGATGATGAGAGATGTAGACAGTCGTAGAAGACAATAATAATGAATAGCTTTACCTGTTTTGGTTTTGGTGATGGTAGTGATGATAATGATAATGATATTATTGGTATAATGATGGTGGTGATGATGAGAGATGTAGACAGTCGTAGAAGACAATAATAATGAATAGCTTTACCTGCAGCTGTTCCGCGCTCTCGTTGATGGCAACAAAATCCGTCTCGTCCACATCACTGTTGATCTTCCGGTGCGCATCAGTTAGAGTGTGTTCGAGTTTCAGCGAATCATCTCTCCACTTCCACAGGCGACTATCTGAATCCTTCTTTAGATGCTCAAGGAGAGCTGCATCCAAACTGAATGATGATAATAAGAAATATAAGGGAAATAGTTACATTCTGTTCTCTATAATAAATGATGAGTCCTATTGGAGTATACTATCACCTGCACTTGGGCGAATCATAAAATAAATAAATAAATGATGCTAGCTTTCGTCTTGCGATGTGGTGAAGTTTATGATGATGATGGCGATGTTAATGATGATATAATAATGAAGATGATGAAAATATATATGATGAATCGATATATGATGATGACGAGGCGATGATAATGATGATATATGACGATGACGACGACAACGACGATGATGATAAATGACGAAGACGACGACGACGACGACGATGATGATAAATGACGACGACGACGATAATGATGATATATGATGACGACGACGATGATGATAATCGTGATGATGATGATGATGAAATACACAGAAAATCAGCTCATACAACACAGTGTGCCACTCACTTGTCCTGTCTAGTTTTCATACGTTCATTGATGCCTTTCCATCGATTCTGCAACACATCTCTAGTCTTTTCTACTCCATCCATATCAGCTTTGTCCAGTCTACCACTGTCTATCAGGTTTTGACTCTTCTCGAACGCCTTATCAGCTTGAGGTGTGTATTCATCTACTTCTTTTTTGAATTCCTGGATTAAATGGCCATATGTGAGGTGAAATGAGAAGGGAAAAAAGAGGAGAGGAGGAATGAATGAATGAATGAGCTTTATTTAGTCACGAAATTTCATCAGTTGTGATAACTGGTTTACATAAAAGTCGTGTATTAAAATCTAGATATGTACATCATTATAAATAAAAAGATAGTATATAAAATAATAATATATTAAGATTTACATTATTGTAGTGTAGTCTATGTAGTTGAATCAAAAGTGAGGTAAATCGATCACTCGGAACCACAAGAAAAAGCAAGAACAGAAAAGTTTTTAATCTTGTTCCTAAATGTTGGGAAAGACTTTAAATTCTTAATATCTGTCGAAGAAGAGAAGGAGAAGAGAAGGGAAAGGAAGAAAGGAGAAGAGAGGAGAGGAAAGAGTCACATACCTGACAGTCTTTAATTTGCGCTTGCAGCGTCTCCACATCGGTACCAATCTTCTCCTCGTCCTTCTGTAGCCGCTCGCATTCTTTAAGGAACTGGTTCATAGTCTCACAATTCTCTCTCCAAGCGTCAAATTCCTGGTACTCATCTTCGATCTCCTTTGCCAGCAGTTCAAGCCTTTAAATAAACAAATAGAACATTTAATACCTCACTCTAAGTGTATGCTTTTGTGTTCGTTCAATGTCTTTTCGTTAGAAGAAAGCGCTTGAGCAAAAAATCTCAGGTTAAGGTTTTTAAAGTTTTTCAAATTTCTTTTATACGTAGGCATGTGTTAAATCATAAAAAGAATTGCTCCGTCTGCGTGTAGATTTTGATATTATATTTATGTTTACTTCAAGTTGTTTGCATTTGTGCAAAATGTACATATTGATAGTTGAACTTGCATTACAATATTCGTCGATTTAAGTCCAGTTGATGCAGAATTTTAGTTCATTAAAAACTCGTTATCCTTAAACCTTGTTTATTATTGCGATAAATGTAACGTATCTGGCAGTTATTAGAAAATGTCGGTGAAAATCAAAGTTTTGGAAAGTTATAGTGAATTTAATCAGAGGTTGGTTCTCTGGTACACTACAACTCTATCAAGGTCATCATTTCGTAGACATATTTTTGTCTTGGCTTCACTAGTAAGGTATGGCTGGGAACCGTTTTTTGACCTTGACATATTGAGTACCCTTTGGATTAATTCTAAGCCTCTACGATGAAATAAAAATACTATGACACTGTAATACATAAAGGAATTCAGAAGCATAAATAGCTGTTTCCTTTTGAAAATAATAAGCCACGTCTATGAAAGCTAAGACTGAAAACAGTTGCCTCAAATAGTAGAATATACTATTTTGAACTTCAGTTTAAAAACTTTTTCAAACTTATTGTAAATGCAAAATAAATGATCCACGTTTTCTCCTCAGAGACTAATAAGAGGTCCAAAGATATAATGCAATATTGTTTCGTAAAAAATCCAATACATACTGAGCATTATTTTCGAACAGTTTGTAAAATGTTTCTTGAATGTTCACACAACATTTAAGGCAAGAAATGGTATCAATTCTGCAGGACGTGAGCGAGAGTTCACTTGCTTTTATCGTTACCTATACTGCATTAGTTGAGCCGTTGCTGCAGCTATCTCGATAGAACTGGTCAAGTCTTCTTCATCGTCGTCCATGATGCCTGGTCTAGCAAGACCTCACGATATTGTATATGGTTTGTTAGCACGAACAAGAAGGAAAGACCGATTTGTGTAGGATTTGAAGCCAGTTACACGAGAATGCGCCGGTAAGCAAACACGGATCGCCAAGAGATCTTAATGTCTCTCGCAAAAATCAATATTGATTTAAGTGAAGGTTTCTGTCAGTCACATTTAATTTGAGAAGGCAGGAACTTCATGGAAAAATGCTGACAGTTAATATGGTATTAGAGTTTTTATGTGTCATAACTATGAATAATTATCACATAAAGTGCAACCGTTGTTTCAAATATTTAATGTATGTATTATATATGTATGCTAATATTATCATATTATTAATTATTAATTTATTACTAATAATATCCATGTTTCTCCAAATTTATATTGCTAAGCTAATTTGAAATTCAGTTTATACTGCAACATTGGATGAAATAAATTATCATTATCGTTATTATTATTAGCATAACATCATCATCATCGTCATCATCACCGTCATCATCATCATCATCATCACCATCACCATCATCATCATCACCATCGTCATCATCATCGTCATCATTATTATCTTTATTATCATCATCATTAGTAGTAGTAATAATGTCTTACCTATTTTCCCTTTCAATAACTTTAAAGTTCAGTGTATTCCACTGCGCATTCACAGCGCGCATCTCTCCATCCACCTTCATGATGTTCTGCTCTTCTACGTCACGACTGGCGGTGATTGTGTTACAAGAATCAACGATCTCATTGGCTGGTCGTTGAAGTGACGACACCTCTTGCATTAGATCCTAAACAAACAATAGGATTATGAGATGGCGTGACTATAGGAAGTCAATAGCTTTGCGTAACAATGTGAAGCGTGAAGCGTTACCTCGTGTTCTTCAAATTGGATAATCAGGCTGTCAAGATTTATGCCTGTTTTCTTTGGTTTGCGCCCAAAGCCAAATACTCCTTTGATCGCTTCGATGAAAGACCATTTGCGGTTCTTCTTGTCTCGCTGGATCCTCTGTAACTTAACGCGTATTCTGCGGAGGGAAAACGCGTTTTACATTGGTGAAAATGTAAAATGGGGGAAAAAGGATGAGTCGTGGATGAATGGTGGATGGGTTAGTGGTGAATGGGTGGATGGGTTAGTGGGTGAATGGGTGGATGGGTTAGTGGGTGAATGGGTGAATGGATGAATGGATAGATGACTGGAGGGATGGAAGGAAGGAAAGGAGAAAAAAAAGAAAGGCCGAAAAGGCCTATTGTATTCGTACTTAGCAAGTTGTTCATTGGACGTATCTACAGTTGGTCTCCATTCAACAGTTTCGTTTTGATCAACTCTTTCAATCAATTCGTCTGTCAAGTCAACCGACGAAACAAGCTTATCCTCCTTCTACAAACATAAACAAATCGATAAGTCATCGCAAACTAATCAATCTTTAATCGGGGTACTTATGAAACTCGAGCTTACCAAGGGCCACTTCGCTCGCTGTTCATCGAGGTTATTGTAGGATTTCTTTATGGATTTTTTAAACCTGTCGAGCTTGTCGTCCCAGTCGCCAAGAAGTTCCTTTTGCTTCCTTTGCAGTGGAGGCAATTGTTCGACAATACTGAAAGAAATTATATTACATTAATATTTTATCATACAGTGGTACCCAAATCGTCCTTGTTTTACGAGGGTAGCACTAACTGCTATTTTCATAAACATGCGAACTCGTTAGCTGAGAGCTGCACGCTGAAATTTAGTTCCGACTGATTACTTTGGTCGGTGGCTAACAAACCTGTTACCCTGTATTTTAAAAAACCCTCGAATCAAAGTAGACACCAAAAAACCTCTACCAATATGAGATGGTTGTACGAACATATTATCATTACCTTTCTACACGTTGTCGTACTTTCTCGTTGAGCCCATCCCATCTTTCTTCGCATTTTTCAGCATCTTTTTGGATGACGTCACTTTCGTCCTTCGACAGGGCGGGGTCTTTGGATAGCTTGTGAGCTGATTGGATGCATTCGGTGAATTTAGGGTCGTGATCTGCGATATCTTTTGAGAAATCCTGAAGAACAAAACAATGAAACCAAATATTAAGATAGGTTTCTCAGTGTAATTCAGTTTTTGATGTGCAATGTGCCTTTCCTACGCGGAAGAGAAGTTGGCTGGAACAAGAGATTGCAAATGTCGATGGTTTTGCTCTATCGACCGAACTACTTCAGGGAAGAAGGAGGGCTCTACCAGTCCTCCTCTGAATTTGATAAATGCGATTGGAATACGACAACTTTACCTTGAGTTCGTCTCGTTGTTTCAAGAGGGTTGGTAAGTCATCGGCTACTGGGCTTAACCTGTCAAACTGGTTATTCTTGTTAGTAATCCAGTCATTCAGGTTCTTGATATCAGCTCGACAGTCAATCAAATCGTTTAGTTTTCTCTTTTCCTTTTGACTAATTCTGTTTTCCACCCTGTGGTAAAGCGAAATACAACAGTTAACATATAATATCATAGTACTGGTTTACAATTGGTTTTACTGCCATCTTGGTGAAGCTCCCCATGCTTTCAGACTACTTCTATCATCCAACATGGCTGCCATGCCATTTTCTTATAAATCATTCATCTTCATTCACCTTTTCATTTTCTGTTCTTTAACGTTGGCCAYGTTGTCCCATCGTGTTTTGACGTCCTCCATATCTTCATTCAGAGCTTGCTTGTCCTCATCGCTCAGGAACTGGTCTTCGGCCAGCAACTCGGATCTCCTGCTGATGTCATCATAGGTAGGTTGATACTCGACTAACTCGTTTTCCAGTTTCTGAAGAAAAGAATAAGCGTCCGTTGAATGGTTAGGAAAATATTAAATGAAATTTTTAGCTAAGGTAGGACTGATTATTTTCGGACTCAAAATCAGAAGCGTGGTTAGTAAAAACGCAACTAATGCACACTAAGGATTCCTCTTGGCCTTTCTAAATCTCTATATTTTTAGGAACATTTTAAAACTTTTTTATTGATTGAATAATTGAGGACCATACTTCCAGACATCGAGTGCTGAACCGTCGTATGGCAGCGCGAAGCATTTACGGCTACGCCGGAGATTTCGACCCCGACACCGCTATCCCTGGATTTACAGACTGATCAGGAAGCTCGGCCGAAGCCTAAGGGAGAGGTTAGTTGGCCCCTAGTCCGTAGATGATTAACCCCTTGCTATGACCAGCATACCCGATATGTTGATTTTTTCGCTGATGACTTATTATCCATAGTTACTCCTTTCCATGTGGGACGCATTTTGAAAAAAAAAWATTCATATATTTATGATAAGTCGGAGTAAAAATGAAAGGTTGAGGTTCCATTTTCTTATGACATTTTTAACATCCATCGATACGATGAGAAAGTGAAAACTGAAAAAAAATGGAATAGACATGCGCAGTGGCATTGATCTAAATACATCCCAAAACCTGCTAAGAACACGTAATTTGATTGGTTGATAAACCAAGCTATTTCTATTACCGTAAGTCCTTTTCTTTGTTCTTTTAAACCAACAAGATCCTCATTATCACTCTCGTCATCTAGCGTCGGCTCTCGTTGTTTTATCCATCGACGCACTGAGTCGGCGTCATCTCTCCATAGACCCAGTCTCTCTCGACTTTCTGCTTCTGCTTCAGCAAAGGAATCTTGCCATTGGTCTGGTGAGGACTCGAGTTGTGGCTCGCTTTGAAGCATGACTTCTTGTTCAAAGGGTATCGAGATTCGAGGTTCGTAAGTCATTTGGATGTACTACGAAAAATATGAAAATGAAAAATTCGAAGACAAATTGATAAAAAAATACTAAAACCTAAACCAACTAAAAGATTAACAATGCTAAACAATATCGTAAAAACAAACCTTGTTAGCTTCTTCTTCCTTTCTCTTTCGTTCTTCTTCTTTTCGTCTTTCGTCTTCTTCTCTTCGTCTTTCTTCCTCTTCTCTTCGTTTTCTTTCATCCTCCTCTTCTCTTTTTCTTATTTCTTCCTCTAATCTTTGTCGCTTGAGCTCTTCTTTTCTTATTCTTTCCTCGTACTCTTTCCTCCTTCTTTCTTCTTCTAGTCGTTCTCTTTCTTCTTCTTCTCGTTTCTTTCTTTCTTCTTCTTCTGCCTTCTGTTTTTCGATTTCTTTTTGTCTTCTCTCCTCCTCTCGTCGTTTTCTTTCGAATTCGTCTTTCTTCTTTCTTTCCTTCTCTTCTTCTTCGAGTTCTTTCAGCCGGACTTGGATGCTATTGAACAATTAAAAATATTCTTTACTTCGGTTTAGAAAATAAACACCGTCTCTAAACAACAACTACAACAACAATGAGTTTATTACAATATATACAAATAAATTGCAGTGAGAAAAAAACAACGCTGTACATTAAGACTTGAAGTAGGTAAAAGCTACACAGCTAGAAAACCCAATTTAGACTTGAAAAAATTCATTTTTTTACAAATATGGAAAAGAGATAGAGGCAAATTATTAATTCCAAATATGGAAGAGATGAAAATGTTACCAAATATGGAAGACTTCCAATTACCAAATATGGATTGAAGTCAGATTTCAAAATATGGGATAAACTCTATCGAGTATGGCAATGATATTCAATACTCGATAATCCCAAAAGTTTAATTTTCATAAATATCATTGAAATGGAAATCAAAGGTTTTCAGGACTTACTCGTCATGTCGCTTAGCAACGATATCGTCAACATTTTCCCAACGTTCTTGTAAAGACTCCATATCATCTTGTATCTTGTTGCGATCATCTCGTGCAATGTGTGTACCCTTCAGCAGGACGTTACCAAAATCGATGACTTCGTCAAACTTTGGTTGCTTTTTGTGAAGACTTTTTAACATCAGCTATTAAAGATACAACATTGTTCATTAAAATGCCGGCTTTTTTATTTTTAGAGCAAATTTAGCTACCGTGTTCGTGTATTTTCAGTGGCTGAGCAATGATCTCACACGTGATTGGTTGAAAGGATGCCTTCAAATTCCATTGATCAAGACAGTTCCGTTTCACAGACATACTAAATCTCCTCTAAGGGAGGCGTTTGACTCTCCAAAAGATGTTGCAAAATTCGAGCATTGGTTAAGGGGTTGGGAATGTACGGATTATCTACCTCGTTTTCTTTGTTTTGCTGCTGTACATTCTTGACGTCGTAAGCTATAGGGTCGTAAGACTCAACTTTCGTCTCGGCGTCATTTATCCAGTCGTCCAAAGGAGCGCTTTTTTGTCTCCATTCTTGTAGTTTTCTATTCTGTTCATTCTCAAGTACTCGCACTCTGTCATCCAGCCTAAAGTAACATGAAATCATTAAATCATTCATTTGACTTCATAAAATGTTGATCTTGGCCATCTTAAAAGGTAACCATAAGCCTGGAAGCCAAAACTAATTCACGCAGTATTAGAAACCATCTGGAGTCTGAGGAGATCTGGACCCGCAATCACGCGGGCTGGAGACTGGGAAGGTCTAATCCCGCAAAGATTTCTGGGACAACCACACGGGTATATGGACTGGGGAGAGCTAAGACCGCAAACATCCCCATCAACACGATACATATTTTTCTTTGGTTTGTTCGTTTTAATAAAACAATTAGTCACGTACTTTCGTTGTACGTTGTGGGCCTTGGTGTTGAGTGACTCCCAGTGTTCTCTGATTGACAGTTTCTCACTAGTCACCAGTCCCTTCTCGTTAGCGTGAATGCCCGGGTCTTCTATCATTGTTTCAGCAAGATCTTCCAGTCGGCGAACTTCTTTCTCGTAGACGGTGACTTCTCTTTGGATATCCTGTCAGGGAAAAAACAATTATTATTCAGTTTTTCAGATCAGATTCCTATTGGCTAAGTGCGTCACGTGATATTCTCTTATACGTCACACATCGTTTTACATTGTGATTGGCTCACACTGGCTCACGATATGCTCACAGGATATCAGCTTGTCACCTGTCATGTGACTTAATTAGAATTAATGTAAAATAAATGATGCCATATATTGAACCAATCACACCGCGATATCTATTGCAGCTCAACCAATCAAAACGCTCAAACGCACCTTCAGTTCTTGGTACTGATTCCTTGTTTTATCCACATCTGGTGCTACCGTGTCCAGGGATTTGATTCGTTGTTCCATATCAGCAATCCACACAGATACTTCGGTCTTTCGTGTCTGCCACTCAGAGAAAAGAGCCTTTTGTCTCTTGTTTAGTCCTTCTTGTTTCTCTTCCAAGCTGAAACAAGATATTTAATTAAGAAAGGTCTTTAAGTGGCCACTTTGTCATGCGTATGCGTATGGAGTCCTAAAGATTTTACGCGCAAGGGAAAGCGTAAAATGACGTGTCTTTAAGGAGATGCATTTAACTGATAAAAAGAAAGAAACTGTTTTGGGAGAGGTAACTCTACATGCGCATGCTAGAAAAACTAAAATCTAGTGCGCAAAGGATTCGGATAAGAAAGAGTTTCTTTAGAAAGTTTAAACACAAGGAARCACAATTGCATTAAAGTAAATGTATGTGGTTAATAATTAATCGTTTTTATTGAGACTTTTGTAAATATTTTTTTATGTGTTCTTCTCGGACATCAACTGTACTAGCACGAAAACCGTAGTTGGGCTCCCTGTGGTTTATGCGGGTATTTTTTACCTTTTGTCTCTGCGTTCAAGTTCTCCCTTTGCTTTATGCCATCTTAGTTCCAGCACGTCGCACTGTCTATCGATGTGGCGTCGATCTTCAGTGCTGATGCCTGGTTTATCCATCAGGTCTTCGGAGTACGTCAGGAAGTCAGATACTTGTGAGTCAAGGGAATCTTTCTCTTGGTTAGCTTTCTGTAAAAAAAAAAAAAAAAAAAAAAAAAAAAATGAATACAAAACTCGTTCAGTATAGAATGGCTATAAAATGCGTGGAGGTTGTTATCTGGATGCTTTTCTCGACTGGGCGAAGGGTTAACCAATGTCGGACCACGTGTAAATCCCTTAATTGTTTACTATAACTTTATCTATCCTAAATGCACAAGGACCTTACCATTTTCTGAGATAGCGAACATGATGCATTCTGGTCTAGCTTGAGTATAAACATTTTGCCCATCATGTCTTATATAGTGTTGTTTGTACCCAAGCTAGACCAGAATGCATCCTGCGCTATCAATCTCAAAAAAGGCTCATAACAATATTCATGAAATTTGAATCTCAAAATATATGGTTTAAAAAAAGTCAAAAGCATTAAAAACAATGATTTATATTTCACCTTCATTTGTCGTTTCTGTTTTTCTATGGCATCAGGGTCTTTTCCTATTGGTTCGGAGCTCAATTCTTCAAGGTTTTTTATCTTCGTTTGTACATTGACGAGCTGTGTGTTCCATCCATCCATCTCAGCTTGACCCTTCTGTAATTCTTGTAACTTTTCTTTCAGTCTATGAAAACATTTAAAGCAAAACACCTAAGTATCTCTCTCTCTCTCTATTTGCCATTATCCGCCACTTAGATCAATAGCTTTGACCTTGCCCTAACATCAGGGGTTTCTTACCTTGCTTGTTGGTTGTTCATCATGTCTTCGATGTGACCCCATCGATCAATGCGTGCCTCCTTTTCAATCTTGATATGGTCACGTGACACGTTGTCCATGATCGGGTCGGCGATGACCTCATCGGTATACTGCCCGTATTCAAACACTTTGCGTTTCTGGCTACGAACCTTTGACATTGCAATCTGTGAAACAAGTAATGCTAAATTTATATAGTGCAAGTGTCACGGTGAGCATATAGGTCAGCGGTGCTGCGCGCATGCGCATAAGAGTAGAAACAGGTAAGTACTTAAATCATCTTTTTTCACAATACCGCTAACAGAAACAAACAATACGAACATACACGTAGTATCTGCCTATAGAGTGGTACTTCATGCATTCCGTTTGAATTGTCCTTATGCACAATACAGCTATCAAACATAGCATTGCAAAACCTCCACGGAGTATGTATCTACTAATAATGCTATACCTTGAAGTCTTCCATCTGTTTTTTAACGCTTGTCAAGTCACCGTTAATGGTGTCAGGCGAGCGAATATCTCGTTCACAGTTCGTTAGAAATATATCAAACTCGCCGGACCTGTATTCCCAGTCCTCCAGCTTCTTTCGACGACTTTCACGTAGACGTTTCGCAGTCTGTGCCAATCTGTTCAAAATAAAACATGGCTCTAAAAATAGCAACAGGCGTCATGCATTAATAGAACACGTGATAATTAACCTTGCCAAAATGCAAGTGTAGACATACTCAAGTCATGCCTTGAATGACCTCGAGCGCAAGCCAGTTACTTCAGTTATTTTTAGCTGTGATGCCAATTTATTAGTACCGTTTGGATCATCAAAAATGGCGGCTAATGTCACGTGACTTGGAGAAAATGCAATAATGTTTCCCTGTCTATCAATAGCTTGTGCATTCTAGCACTTGATTGGACGGTGTCAGTATTAGGAGTGTTTTGATTGGTTTATAGTTGAACCTTATAAGATTTTCTTACCTTCCTTTCCTCAGATCCACAAAGTCTTTGATTCTGTCCCATCTTGAGGTTAACAGGTTTAGCTGTCCCTGTACGCCGTCTCTCCTGGATTTAGAGTATTTACTGTCACTGATGATGTCTTGTCCTAAAGAAAACGTCTCGCCCATTTGTGTTTCATTCAAGTCTACTTGGTTGGCGAAAACCTGGGAGAAACAAAGATTTTTATGAAATGTCGAGACACCAGTTTTAGAACACACGCACACACATGCAAACAAGGCAAATCAGAAGGAAAGAATAACAGCAACAAAGAAAACCAAAACAAAAGCAGCAGTAGCAGCAACAACAACAGCAGCAGCAATAACAGCAACAGCAGCAGCAACAACAACAGCAGCAACAACAGCAGCAGCAACAACAACAGCAGCAACAATGACACCAACAGCAGCAGTAACAACAAGAACAACGGCAGCAAAAGCCACACAACAACAATGAAACAACAACAAAAACTGCAAAACMAAAATACATCAAAATCAACCCAAGTCTTATTACATCAAATTCTCGCTCTTGCTTTTCTACGTCTTCAAGCTGTGTGGCCAGTGGTTCATCAACTGTAGGCATCTTGCTTTCAAATTTATCGAGGAGTTCAGAGGCTCGGCCCGAACGAATTGTCCAGCGGTTAAAATCATCGTCTTGATCTTTTTCTAGCTTTCCGAGGTTATGCTCGAGCCTGAAGAAAAGAAGTATACTTAGCGATTTGTTCCTTCATATGACCATCAAATGTTATCGATACACAACCTCTGGGCTGATCTACGTCAAGGCACGGCTAACTCGCACATCCAATTTAAAGTTTGGTTTTGCGTAGGGAAGAAAACCGGAAAACCTCGGAGAAAATCGTCGAAAATTCAAGAGATACCCAAAGTGAGAGGCGAGTGCACTACTTCTAGTATTAATTACTTATTCACCATGGTTTCTTTGTTAGTGTTAATCGTTGCTTTATTTTGAAGAAATGGGTAATATTGAAGCGCCAAAATATTTGTCTGATATTTATTGTCTTTGGGTATCATTAAGGAAGCTACGCGTATACTGCATCACGTGACTAAGTCACAAAGGTTTGGTCCTGTCATAAAGCGCTCTACCCGCAGAAAAGAGCAGCATATCTTACTTACCTGGATTGTCTGGCATTAGCCAGGTTCACAAATTCATTCCACCGTTTGTTGCAGTCGGCCATTTCGTTTCGTACTCGAAGCCTTTCGTCTTCACCCAAGCAGGGATCTGCTAGTAAGTTACTGCTGAACTCGTTTAGGTTTGTCACCTTGTCTTGATAGATCGGCGCGTCACGAACAAAATCCTAAAAAACGTATTGTTATATGGAGGCGTACAGAGCAGTTATCGCATGACTGTGAATCAGTGCCGTAAGCGTCCCTTGCCGTGACCGTGACGTTTTCTAGAATTTTAATTGGCTGTTTTTTTTCTCGTGCAATGTGATTGGTCAAGCAGTGCCGTGACCTTGGCGTGACCGTGAGTCCGCGCCGTGTTCATACCGTGTTCCGGGTATTTGATTGGATGGAGAGTAAATTCTTGAGCAATGTGATTGGTCTGGCGTATCTCTTGCCGCGTCACGACCGTGTTCGTGCCGTGAGCTTCTCAAAGTCATACGAGAACTACTCTAAGTCTTTCAGTAACTGTATTCGCCAAGGAATGGTTTATGAATCTTACCTGTAGATTATCGATCTGGTCGTAAGCCGAGTCTACATCGTTTGCTAGTTTTGGTTCTGGTTTGATGTTTTCGGATGTCTTGGTGATCCACGTGTTCACTTGCTGTAATCCTTCTTGCCATTTACGAAGTTTGTCTTCCCGTTGATTTTCAAGCTTTCTGATCGTATCCTCAATTCTTTGAACAAAACAGAATTTTTTTAGGCAGTTTCTGTGTGTCCCTTTGCACCATCCTGAAAGGTAGTCGTGCCTTTGYATCGAAGCGAGACGAACGGTGAGCTTACAATGACAGAGAACTTTTTTAACACCTTGTACAATATTATTCACATGTCTCTATCATTTTAAAGTGCAAATGAACCCTTTGACAATACATTCAGTACTGGTTCTGCATAAAGTAAATAGTTGA